GCAGTTGTTCATCCGAGCAAAGAATGCCATTCGGGTGGGGGAGGGGAGAGGGATTCTTTGGGTAAGGTGTAACGTTTTGCATTGCGAAAAGAAAAGTAGGATAGTCATATCTTTGTGAGCGTTCAAAATCCTCTATCTCTAAGGCTGGTGTCAGAGTCCGCGACCCGTCGCAGGTTTCGCGAAAATCGCGTGAGTGGCAAAAATCTAGAAAATCAGCGGAACCTGCGACGGATCGCGGGCTCTGACACCTGCCCAACTCCACGAGCGCCTTCTCCACAAATCCGGAGACTTCTAAAGCGATAAGCGCCCGACTGGAGTGGGATGAAAGCTTTCAATTTCCTTCCTACGCCTTATTCTTCCCTTGGCCTTTCGATGCTTGTTATAGAATGATCCTGAAGAGGGGGCTAGAAGAGAAAAAGGAGCAAGCTTTGCAATTTTTTTACTTGGTGTGGCGGCCAGGTGTATGTTTAATGCTTATGTGGAATCTTTCAGTCACCACTCGCCACGAACGAATCATATCGAATGCCATTTATTATATTTCAGAGGATCAAACAACGGGCCATGACGTAAGGACGGTGAACGCTGGGAGCGAGTATAACGCAGAGATGTCTGAAACGGTCCATGAAGTTGAAGAGAGTATGGATAATGAATCGGAAATCGATGCTGGTCATTGGCTGGTATTGGCCCTATGGGATTTCAAGCGGAACTGTCAGAAGAGTTATCATTTAAAAAAGGTGACTACCTCAGCATCGTTGGAAAAGGATACCCCGGATGGTGCATTGCGAGGAATTCGCTTGGACAACGTGGTCTCATCCCAGAGAATTATACCAAGCCAGTAATTGATATAATGGAACACCAACACTCCGAGATCGAGGAAATGACCGAGGAAATAGAGGCGCTCTATCATAGACTTCATAAAGCGCAGGAGGAAATAGGTACCCTACTGCGAGGTGGACCGACCGACTCCGACGTCACCAACGATACCGAAACTGGACGGCTCAGGTTTTATCAAGAATTTTAACAACATGTATCAAATCGCAATAAAGAGGCGGAAAAGGAGTCACTATCTGAAAGAACGCCTTGAAGAAGCAGCGGACGAGATGGAGGAGCTCAAAGCCGAGTTGAAGACGATAAGATAAGTTAATAAAGAAAAAGACGGCATCAGAGCAGATGGCATCAGAGCGAGTCGCTGTACAGTCAGTGAAGCTTTAGAGGGTCAAGAACCCAGAAGAAAAAGGAATCGGGAGAAAAAAGATGAAAAAATGATGAAAGAAGAAATATGCATGTACTGCAATGCAAGAATCAAAAGAAAGAGACACGATGATCCTACTCGTCTGTTCGCTAACGCAGGAAAGAATCAGGTCAGATTCAAACCAACGTTTTTGACGTTTTGAAATTCTAGTTTTTTTTCGCAGTTGTTCATCCGAGCAAAGAATGCCATTCGGGTGGGGGAGGGGAGAGGGATTCTTTGGGTAAGGTGTAACGTTTTGCATTGCGAAAAGGAAAAGTAGGATAGTCATATCTTTGTGAGCGTTCAAAATCCTCTATCTCTAAGGCTGGTGTCAGAGTCCGCGACCCGTCGCAGGTTTCGCGAAAATCGCGTGAGTGGCAAAAATCTAGAAAATCAGCGGAACCTGCGACGGATCGCGGGCTCTGACACCTGCCCAACTCCACGAGCGCCTTCTCCACAAATCCGGAGACTTCTAAAGCGATAAGCGCCCGACTGGAGTGGGATGAAAGCTTTCAATTTCCTTCCTACGCCTTATTCTTCCCTTGGCCTTTCGATGCTTGTTATAGAATGATCCTGAAGAGGGGGCTAGAAGAGAAAAAGGAGCAAGCTTTGCAATTTTTTTACTTGGTGTGGCGGCCAGGTGTATGTTTAATGCTTATGTGGAATCTTTCAGTCACCACTCGCCACGAACGAATCATATCGAATGCCATTTATTATATTTCAGAGGATCAAACAACGGGCCATGACGTAAGGACGGTGAACGCTGGGAGCGAGTATAACGCAGAGATGTCTGAAACGGTCCATGAAGTTGAAGAGAGTATGGATAATGAATCGGAAATCGATGCTGGTCATTGGCTGGTATTGGCCCTATGGGATTTCAAGCGGAACTGTCAGAAGAGTTATCATTTAAAAAAGGTGACTACCTCAGCATCGTTGGAAAAGGATACCCCGGATGGTGCATTGCGAGGAATTCGCTTGGACAACGTGGTCTCATCCCAGAGAATTATACCAAGCCAGTAATTGATATAATGGAACACCAACACTCCGAGATCGAGGAAATGACCGAGGAAATAGAGGCGCTCTATCATAGACTTCATAAAGCGCAGGAGGAAATAGGTACCCTACTGCGAGGTGGACCGACCGACTCCGACGTCACCAACGATACCGAAACTGGACGGCTCAGGTTTTATCAAGAATTTTAACAACATGTATCAAATCGCAATAAAGAGGCGGAAAAGGAGTCACTATCTGAAAGAACGCCTTGAAGAAGCAGCGGACGAGATGGAGGAGCTCAAAGCCGAGTTGAAGACGATAAGATAAATCAATAAAGAAAAAGACGGCATCAGAGCAGATGGCATCAGAGCGAGTCGCTGTACAGTCAGTGAAGCTTTAGAGGGTCAAGAACCCAGAAGAAAAAGGAATCGGGAGAAAAAAGATGAAAAAATGATGAAAGAAGAAATATGCATGTACTGCAATGCAAGAATCAAAAGAAAGAGACACGATGATCCTACTCGTCTGTTCGCTAACGCAGGAAAGAATCAGGTCAGATTCAAACCAACGTTTTTGACGTTTTGAAATTCTAGTTTTTTTTCGCAGTTGTTCATCCGAGCAAAGAATGCCATTCGGGTGGGGGAGGGGAGAGGGATTCTTTGGGTAAGGTGTAACGTTTTGCATTGCGAAAAGAAAAGTAGGATAGTCATATCTTTGTGAGCGTTCAAAATCCTCTATCTCTAAGGCTGGTGTCAGAGTCCGCGACCCGTCGCAGGTTTCGCGAAAATCGCGTGAGTGGCAAAAATCTAGAAAATCAGCGGAACCTGCGACGGATCGCGGGCTCTGACACCTGCCCAACTCCACGAGCGCCTTCTCCACAAATCCGGAGACTTCTAAAGCGATAAGCGCCCGACTGGAGTGGGATGAAAGCTTTCAATTTCCTTCCTACGCCTTATTCTTTCCTTGGCCTTTCGATGCTTGTTATAGAATGATCCTGAAGAGGGGGCTAGAAGAGAAAAAGGAGCAAGCTTTGCAATTTTTTTACTTGGTGTGGCGGCCAGGTGTATGTTTAATGCTTATGTGGAATCTTTCAGTCACCACTCGCCACGAACGAATCATATCGAATGCCATTTATTATATTTCAGAGGATCAAACAACGGGCCATGACGTAAGGACGGTGAACGCTGGGAGCGAGTATAACGCAGAGATGTCTGAAACGGTCCATGAAGTTGAAGAGAGTATGGATAATGAATCGGAAATCGATGCTGGTCATTCGCTGGTATTGGCCCTATGGGATTTCAAGCGGAACTGTCAGAAGAGTTATCATTTAAAAAAGGTGACTACCTCAGCATCGTTGGAAAAGGATACCCCGGATGGTGCATTGCGAGGAATTCGCTTGGACAACGTGGTCTCATCCCAGAGAATTATACCAAGCCAGTAATTGATATAATGGAAAAAAAAACTAGAATTTCAAAACGTCAAAAACGTTGGTTTGAATCTGACCTGATTCTTTCCTGCGTTAGCGAACAGACGAGTAGGATCATCGTGTCTCTTTCTTTTGATTCTTGCATTGCAGTACATGCATATTTCTTCTTTCATCATTTTTTCATCTTTTTTCTCCCGATTCCTTTTTCTTCTGGGTTCTTGACCCTCTAAAGCTTCACTGACTGTACAGCGACTCGCTCTGATGCCATCTGCTCTGATGCCGTCTTTTTCTTTATTAACTTATCTTATCGTCTTCAACTCGGCTTTGAGCTCCTCCATCTCGTCCGCTGCTTCTTCAAGGCGTTCTTTCAGATAGTGACTCCTTTTCCGCCTCTTTATTGCGATTTGATACATGTTGTTAAAATTCTTGATAAAACCTGAGCCGTCCAGTTTCGGTATCGTTGGTGACGTCGGAGTCGGTCGGTCCACCTCGCAGTAGGGTACCTATTTCCTCCTGCGCTTTATGAAGTCTATGATAGAGCGCCTCTATTTCCTCGGTCATTTCCTCGATCTCGGAGTGTTGGTGTTCCATTATATCAATTACTGGCTTGGTATAATTCTCTGGGATGAGACCACGTTGTCCAAGCGAATTCCTCGCAATGCACCATCCGGGGTATCCTTTTCCAACGATGCTGAGGTAGTCACCTTTTTTAAATGATAACTCTTCTGACAGTTCCGCTTGAAATCCCATAGGGCCAATACCAGCCAATGACCAGCATCGATTTCCGATTCATTATCCATACTCTCTTCAACTTCATGGACCGTTTCAGACATCTCTGCGTTATACTCGCTCCCAGCGTTCACCGTCCTTACGTCATGGCCCGTTGTTTGATCCTCTGAAATATAATAAATGGCATTCGATATGATTCGTTCGTGGCGAGTGGTGACTGAAAGATTCCACATAAGCATTAAACATACACCTGGCCGCCACACCAAGTAAAAAAATTGCAAAGCTTGCTCCTTTTTCTCTTCTAGCCCCCTCTTCAGGATCATTCTATAACAAGCATCGAAAGGCCAAGGGAAGAATAAGGCGTAGGAAGGAAATTGAAAGCTTTCATCCCACTCCAGTCGGGCGCTTATCGCTTTAGAAGTCTCCGGATTTGTGGAGAAGGCGCTCGTGGAGTTGGGCAGGTGTCAGAGCCCGCGATCCGTCGCAGGTTCCGCTGATTTTCTAGATTTTTGCCACTCACGCGATTTTCGCGAAACCTGCGACGGG